CTATGAAAATGCGAAGAGTTTCTTGCTGACAATAACAATATTAAGGAAATAGCGAATTCGAAAGAAGCAAAATAATAATCTAATTTTAAGTACCTTGTAGTTTAAATTGGGAGCTTACATCAGACTTATTCATATCAGTAAAGTTGATTAAAGTGAACATTTATGCCAGTTTGCAAGGTATATGTATATCAGTCATGATGAAAAGTTTGATTAAAGGCAAGGACTGTATTTAAAACTAAACTTCCTTGCTTACAGCTTTTTTCGAAAAAAATTGTCTGATTATCATTTTTGTTTGCCTTAAAGTTGACTTTTTATGTTGCTCTTTGAGTATAGTATTGATATCCTAAAATATAACAAATGAATCTGTGCATATAACCACTTTGAAACTCATACTTGTGCCAGTGATAGAGTGAGAGGAGAACAGTATGGCCAAGGTGCCAGTTTCTGTATACAGAAAATATATCAACATTGCATCTATATTTGATTAGAGAAATCTATTTATCATGTCCATATTCTGTTGACATAGTCTCTGGTATTTCATTAGTTAAAGTGTACATTTATCAGTGAGAGAGGGAAATAGATAGATAAAAGAATAAATTCAAAGATTTGAAGCATGAACTTGATGCAGAAGAGTTAATCCAAATCTCAGTGAGATGTCTAAACAATGACTTGTATATATTTTTTGATGTTGAAGAGCAACAGACCAGAAATCCAGCTATTTTTTTCTATCTAATTTTCTCCTGTATTGTTAATTATTTCATTTTTATACAATCATTATTGGTTTTCCAACTTTTTCTCTACCACAATTTGATTTTCTAGGATACCATCTTTAACAAATCTAATTCAATTTTAATTTCTGACCAAGCTGGAGCTTTATTGTTTCTATTTGATTTTCTATGGTATCTTGTTTTGTAGCATCTCAAAATCTTTTGTTTCTATCGGATTCCTAACGATTGTTATCGAAAGTGAAACCCTATCGTATAATAAGTATTTATTTTTCATTACCGTAATAACATTAATGAGATCCTCTCGGCAGAATTCATTTCATCAGTACGAACAACAATAACAATCAAAACCCCTCTCGCGACAATTATTATACCAACGTTTATCTTGGTTAGCCTTAATTAAACTGACTAGCTCTGTGATTAATTTGTTTAGAAAGTGTTGATTTCATTAAAGAGACTACCCATGTGATTAATGTCCCTGGACGTGTAGTAGTAATGGATGAGGTTTGTATGCAATAAGTAATTGGATGTATTAATGGCTTATTAAAGCCCCTATATCTAATCTAATTTGGTTATGATATAGCTGTATTTATGACCCTGTGCGCATGGTATAACACTTCTGGTATAGCAATATCCTTAACTATATTAGATAAAATGAATGGAGTTTTACGTCCTACTTTTCTGCACCATGTGGGCTAATGAAGACGGGCAACGCCATGCAGGGTGCAATGAGGAAAATTTTGCCAGGAAAGGGCCAACTGTCAAGCAATCTTAATGTGCACAGCCTGTAGCACACAGGGCCTCGGTTTATTATCCCATTCCAACGACTAGACGCTTTTTCCATGTCAGCCCTGCATCACTGACAGGGGAAAACCGAGTTGAAAAAACATCTCGACCTATGCTGGGATTGAACCCTGGACCTTCAGGTTAGCGATCAAGTATGCTACAGGCTGTGCAGGTAACAGATCCCTCTGCATTTTGAAATTCAAACAGTAAGCTAGTGCTGCTGTCCAGACAAAATTTCCCTCATTGTACACATAGTCTTCTAGTTATTGTCTATATGTGATATTTTTTGAAAGGTCTTTTTCCGCTTACCTACTAAAACCTGGAATATTATAAACATGGAAAGTGGATAACAGTAAGATGTTAAATTCATTTCATTATACTAGCCAACAAGGTGCAGAAGACTGAAATATAATGCCGGATTGCTCTTCATTTGATTTATTAGGTGAATTTATGAAATGTATTTATTCCATTAGATATTAAATATCAGCCTTTAAACCCAACTTTAACCCTGTGCTGGTGCCTTCTGTTGAATACTGACTAGTTGCTTGGTAATATGGTTAATGGTTTTTTTTCAACCACTCTAATCTCTAAATGACAAAGATAAATGTGACGTCACAACATTACGACAGTTTCGCACATTAAAGTTGACAATTACAGAAATGGTTGAGTCATAAACTAAATTTAGTCCGTAATGACATTCTAATTCTGGTGTAATTCCCTCTGATTGTCTCGTGAACTAATCAACTCGTCCTGGCGTCGTTTGAAAATGACCATTAAACATTCTCAATTGGCTTTGTCTAGTTCTCTGAAGTTTATAACAAATTTAATAAAACTAATTATAATATTTCTTAAAATACTCTGTACTCTTGACATCATCGGAAGTCTTGTCTCTGAAGTTAAAATTGCTATTAAGTATTGAGTAATGGTATATTATCATGTATATTTAACTAAGTTATTTAACAACGTCTTTGAACTAAGTGCACTTTCCTCTTCGCTTGTCTTGACATAGATGCAGAAAAAATGGACATAAAACTTCATTTTATTTCATTTCTTGTTTTTATGATCAAAATGGCTGTTGTTATGAGCGTAATTCCTTGTAGTTTTTCGCATATTGTTGTAAAACCTGTCTAAAGTCAGCGATGCTATGATTAAAGTAACCCCTATCCATAGTTTTATGTTTGAGGCTACAATCCATTGGCTTTTCATTCATTTTCATTCAGGATAGATCTTTTGGCTAAACTTAAATGCATCGTGGACTTGAATGCATCCCAACCGGTGATACAGGCCTTAAACAATCATTTTTAAGCTAGTACAGGTTCACATAAGACACAATAATCTGAAGGGTTAAATCCAATATGTAGGTCAACAAAGAACCTTGGAATTTTCAACCAATTTCATATCATTTCAATTTCTTTGACTGGCATGGAACCTACAATATAGACCTAGAACTGAATCGCTATAAGCCATTACATGTTCATATCAAAGCTAGAATATTCTCTCGAAGGTTACAAGCTTTATTCGTATCATTACGAGACCTCAAGGTCGTATCTAACGGAGACCCGAAGGTCAACACCATCAAGATTCTTTGAATCCGTATCTAACAAACCGACAGATTCTAAAAGCTGTTTTATCTTTTCTTCCTCTGTAGCAGTAGAATGTTAAAACCATTAAATCTATTTGAGTGGAAACGTTCAGTCGTTATTTCCATGTGATCAATTTTAGACAGCAGGTTTGCCGAGATGAAGTAAGGGGGAATAATTGATTGAGAGATAGGAATAATGATTAAACGAAGAAAAACAAACGCTAACGGTTCACTCATCAATAGAGTAATCATGAAAAACTTGTGCGGCCTTGAATTGACTGGATATTGCTGGAAGGTGTCTATATTTGGAACATAAAGTAGTCTGTTTTTTCCAGTTGACTGGTTGGATAAAATACTCGTAATAATTTCTATAAAACACGTCCATTGATTTTTTCATTCAATAACAAATTAATTGATATTGACTCCAGGCTTTAATTTACCATAATTAAGAACAAACTTTATTTTTTTTATAGTCTGGGATTCGATTACTTCCTGAAAGGAACTGTCCCACTTTTGATTTGATTAGTTTCTTAAAGCAATTGTCCCAGTTTACAATATCAGACCAGACTTGAATATATTTTGATTGAAGATGAAGTTTATTTTCAAAAGTCAGTATTCGATTACTTCCTTAAAGGAACTGTCCTAGTTTATTTTTTTTCATAAGTTTTGATTTGATTAGACTCTTAAAGCAATTGTCCCAGTTACAATATCAGACCAGGCTTGAATATATTTTGATTGAAGATGAAGTTTATTTTTTAAAGGCTGGTATACAACATTCCCTCTTGATTTTGTCTTACTTTGAACGAGATTTTGATCAATGGAATTGTCATGCTTGTACAGATTTGTAAATTTATAGTTCTGGTCTATACAAATAGTATCATGAATATTTATCATTATTTTTTTTAAAAAGTAGGGTTTAAAAACCAATTTAAACTATCAATTAGAAAATTAATGTGTCTCTAATGGCAATCATTTAATGTATATTTTATGTAAATCTTCCCATTTTAAATTCCAATCAAATTCAGAAAAAAACAAAACAGACTAATGTGTTTAACATCAGGTGTAACAAAGCAGAAGAGATGCATAGCAATTTTGTCCAGATTTACATTTTAATTTGTTGATAGCCATAAAGTTAAGATGGAGTGGTGCCAAGCAGGGTATGCTTACCCTTCTAGACACCTGATACCACTTTTCAGTATGAAACACTTACACACTTATAATTGATATACTTCCTCATGCAAAAAGTTCATTTGCTGCTACAAATGTTTGGCCAATATGTTGTTTTGGATTTCAGGATATGATTTGCGATTCAGATCGTTGATACTTGGTTTATTTATTGAAAATGTTTTAAAGGTTGTAATAAATATATCTTCGTATTATAAGAAAGGAGAATTTACGACTGACCTCCAGTCTGTGGTATTATATATTCTGTAACTTTACGACATATTATCTAAATTTATTGATGATGAGAAACTTTGTGGCACATCATTGCGTTATATTCCATTCAACAGATCTAAATTGGGTTGAGTTATGTTTTTGATGTCAATGGAGTTAGAATTTCAATGTCAGTTAGTTGTTAGTAGTGGAATAGAAAGATTATTAAATCAGTATCTGATACTATCAGCTAGTTATATTATAGAAGTAAGAGTGTCTATGAGCTTCATAATAATAAAATTTCTTTTTTTCATGCCGTAGGGGAAGGGAGAAGGGGAGATTTTTTTGCCTCTCATATTTATATAGTCTAGAAGAAGAGAAGTTATATAACAAAATACTTGGAATATAATTTAGTTAGAATTGTTATGTAGAATGTTATTAAAGAAGTGAGCTATACCATAATATAATCCCTTGTGTCTGTTATATATTCAAAAATTCCAATATTAATTATTTTATGATTTGTATATTTTCAGATGATGACGGAAATCATCATGATACCTCAAGTTACGGCAGTCTTTCTCCGATAAACCATCCACCCAGTCCAGGGCAGCTTGATTCACATCTCGGTCTGGATGAGGACTCCCAAATAATGGACAGAACTCACGAAATTACTGAAAATAGTGTAGAGACCATAAGTTTTGCCTCAGAACTGGAAGGTCGTTCGTGGGAATTCGGCCGTCACAGCTCTGAAGAAGAACTGGCACAAATTAATCGTGAGGGTGTTGCCGAGAAACGGAAGTGGTCACAAGTTTTACGTAACGGTTGTTGTGACAGCGCTGGATCTTCGGACGAGGAAGTGAAAGAACTCATGTTAAGACCTCAACCAGTTCTATTCAGAGCTTCCCCACCTAAAGGTGTTCAAAAACTCATTCATTCTCCTCCTGCTAAGTATTTCTTTACTAATGTTAGTCGTGTTCCCGTGGCAGCCATATCACCCAGGAAACGACACCGTCAGATATCCGTGACGGAAGTCGATCAAGATTCTGGTGTACAGAGACCATGTTTGGATTTTGAGAAAATGCAGGTAAGCTGATTTTGAATTCTGCTTTTATTCCATTCATCCGCTTTTTGCTTTACAGGTACTGATGTAAGACCAGTATTAAAAGGTTTGACCAAACATTGATTACTCACTATAATTCATATGAATCAAATTTAAAATGATATTAGCATATATTTTTTTCCAATCAGTAAAAATTATTTTAATTGAGTTCTATAAACCAATCAGATTACAGTATTTCATTAAATCTGAATTTAATCTAAGTAAGGTTATCAAGAATGACAGATCCTTCTGAATTTTGAAATTCAAAGAGTAGGCTAGTGCTGCTGTCTATGCAAAATATTGTACACTACGTAGTGTTTCTAATCTTCAAGTTAACTTGTATCTTATTATGTGTTTAAGGGCCACATCAAAGTGCCGCCCCAATGAAACATATATTTATTTTATCCATTCTTCGTTATCAGAATAATCTAGTTCCTTAATAATTCAGTTTGATGGTTTCTGTCTCTTCCTGGTTGATTCGGTCCAGTTGTTGATGATTGGGTAATTTTGACCAAGATCTCTACACAGTGGTTAATTTAACTCATTAATTATGTAAACAAGTGGTGGTCTGAAGCCAAATATTATCGTGTAGAAACAAACGACCAGTCACGTCAATCAATATGAAAGAGCTGAGTAGTCAGAATTATCTGCCAGAAGAAAGAGATAAAAAGCGATATGTAGAGCACAAGGCTACCATCTGGTTAAATCTTGTTAAGTGATCATTTGTTGCATTATGGGACAGCTCATAGGAGATGATTTCCCCATTCTTTAGTTACTTCAGAATCCACATAGCTAATAATATTATAGACTCACTTCACTCAAAACACAATAGTATGAACTGATTCACTTGGTGTATTATGAAATGTCCATATTTTAGTTTAGGAACAAAGGTAAAACTGAAAGTAACAATGAAAAATTAAAAGTGGAATTTTTCAAACAATCAAACTCACAGTATGAGATGAGATAACGTCATAATTTCCAACCGAGTCAACATGCACTCTTTTTGATTCGCTAATCAATCTTGCATGACCAGGTGCATTTCTGTTGCTATCGAGAACAAAATTTCCCCTTATTGCACACTTTGACCACAGACAAAGGGTTCAGGAGAAAATCAATCAAGCTCACCATATGGGATGAGATAACATCATAATTCCAACCAACTGAATCAATAGATTCTATAACAATGTCTTCTCACATCATAGTGTCAAGTTACATAACTCTAGATTACTTGGCAAAGGGAGGTAATAAACTCTGTATTGACCTCTCTTGACCTTTATAGCCTGGCCAATGAAATTACTTGATCTTTTTAAACTGACCAATTATATTATTTAACCTCACTTGACCTCTGTAAGCTAACCAATCAGATGATATAAGCATTCAAATGAAGTTAATGTTGTTAAATAAGTGGTGTATAACAGCTCGGTGATTATATAAGGGTATAATAACATGGTATATCAATAGTGTGAAGTGTTTATTAGTAATTTAATCTCTAAAACCAATAGTTATTACTAGACGCGGTGGAATAACACAAACAACTTTATTTCATGCAAAAAACATTTCTGAGGTGTCAAAAAACTCACAAGCATGGTGTGCTGTGAATATTGAAACTATAGAGTCCTTACCATGAAAATCTGATAAAACAGATCTACCTGTTTATAATAATCTGATCATTTCAGAGATCTGTTGTCGATTTTCTGACCATACAAAAACACTTCTAAGGTGTCCAAAATTGAATAGGAAATCACCTGTGCTGTGAATATCCAGAATATACGAATACAAAGTCTTTACCATACAACACTTTTAAAGATATTTTGTCTATTTCAGAATTTTATTTTTCACCAAGTTAGATCTTGTCAAGTTTATTATCATAGGAGAAATATTATTTAGCCAGATAGATATCTTTCAGATATATTGAATATCAGAACCTGAAACATGTACTCAGATTTTCATGCAGAGTGATCTTCAGACAACTTAATATGTTTCAGATACCGGTATATCTTTCATATTCATAGGCTAGGGCTATACATAAAATAAGGAAATAAACACTAGTATTAAGAAATAGATATATTGTTAAATATAAGAATATACTGAAGATTTTTACAATTTTCATCATATTTACTGCTTCACCTCAGATTAATATTTAGTGTGCCTGAAGGCGAGATATAAACATGGATTGACTGATTGAAATTGATGGATTATTTGTTTGTTAAATGAATCTAAAAGATTATAGCCCCTGTAGCCATGTATTATCCAAATTAGAATTCTATTTTTGTTCGTGTGAAATGAAATGATAAAATAGAAATGGAACATGGGCTTGGGTTCAAGAAACTAAACAACCTTGATGGTCACTATTTCTCCAAATAGGTCGAAAAAGCATAGGCCTAGGTTAAGAAATATTAGATCTTGGATCTTGCAGGTCTCAATTTTTTTGAACTTAGTATATCATTTTTGTTCAAAGAATATAAGCCCACAGGCTGAGAAAAATATCAATACATGGACATGTACAGAGAAGTTCTTTAAATAGTTAGTGGAACAATAAAAAAAAAAACCTTGAAAATTATCTTGTAGTGTGAAAGAGCTAGGAAAAGAGGTTATCCTCAAAGAAATTCTCAAAAAGTTGGCAAGGTCAATGGACATGCACTACAATGGTGTTCAGCTTTAAGCCTCTGATGCACTTGCTACAGAAATGTCATTAAGATCTGTTTTTTAAGAATACTTTTTGTGGATACTATCTCTAAACCTCTTGTTACAATGTTTAAGACCCATTATTCAATTTTTGAAGTCTTTTGTCTGTTCTATATTGTTACAACTAAATCCAAATTAAAATCTGTAATTTGCTGTTTAAGCCTCTTTTTATCTGTTTGAAATATAAATCAGGTGGTGAGAAGTGGCTAGAATTGAAACCTTCCTTTGTCATTCTACAATATATCCTAATAATTGAGATGTAATTAAACTGTTGTATTTCTATCAGTTATCAATTGGTTTTTATTAATTGTTCATAAACTTTGTGTTACATCTTTATTCTTAAAGCCGTCATGGTTGAAGTAGGGATTGACAATCTAAAGTGTCTCACACCATGTGCTGTGCATGTTTTATTAAAAAAGTAAAAGGAATTGACTTGGATTACAGAGGGTACAGGGCTGTGTTCCACAAACAATCTTATGATAAGAATTTGTTGTTTGTCGATAAAATTGATTGTAAGTTTTTTAATGAAACGAACTCAGATGTATAAGTGAAAAGTGTCTGTGCTCCTAAACTTTTTGTAAATAGAGTAGAAAGCAATTCCAAAGTAATTTATGTCCAGGTAAACCAGAAAATTAATGGATTCCTTTTAACATCAATATGAAAAAAACTTTTTTAATTTATTTATAAATTTTTCCCATGAACCAAAAATCTTCAATCATATTTTATGTCTTTGAAATATTTTCACATAAATTGGAGAAAAACATGTAAATTGAGCAATATGATATGTCAATTTTTTATTAATTATGGTAGGAAGTCTTCAGGGAGATGAGTTTAAACCCTGCCTTTTGTTATATTCTATCATTGACCTTAGAATGACTTTTATAAACCACATAAAATACAGCTATTATAACCAATAGTGTTAACTATACAAACATTTTATTTTAACTGATCACCACCCACTGGTTTAAAGGGGCATTCTTGTATTTTTTTTGTAGGTAGGAAAATATTTTGCTCAAATTATGAAAATTATACACCAAAACATAGAGAAATATATCCATTAAAAATCTGTGACTTTAAAAAGGTTTATATCAACCTTGTATTGTATTTCAGAATTATTTTCAGATATAATTTACCATATTTTTGATAATGAAAATTCTGCATACTGCCACTTTAACTTTCATTTTGCCTTTTTTTTTTAAACGAAGGCCTTTGAAATAGAGTATAAGGAAAGAACAAAAATATGAATTTGTTTAATATCAAAAGGCAGGTTAGTGTTTGTGAACTCCAGTTCATAAGGAAAACTTATAGAAAAATTTGTCTTTGATATTTTTTTGTGGGTATGGGGATAAGGAAGTAAAATGTTTTGAATGATAATAATATGATAGAAATAGAAATGATGAATGAATACATTTATTGATTTTACATTGAGTGATGTCAACAGTCTTTGTCTATGCCCATAGGCAAATGAGACAATAACACGCAGAGGAAGAAAACGCAGAGGAAGGTGGGGGTGGCTTTTGGTATTGCCGATGGGTGTTACGAAAGTTTCTCGCAAAATAAAGATATCTACATTTTTCTGAATCACATCGAATAATACATCTTGAATTTTTTGAACAAATATCTTGTATATGCTTTATGCACTGGTTTAACAAATTAGTGATCTTCTTACAAAATATTTAATGCAGAAACCTTAAAGGTGTACATGTAGAAGGCAATATGGCGAGGGGTTGGGGAGGATGGGAATGGCTTTTAGGATTGCCTCTAAGTGTTGGAAAAAGATTTGCTGGTTAACAACTTAAGTAGTAATGTTCTTACAATATACAATGCATTAAGCTATTTCTTTCCAAATCAATTCCTAGAAAGATTAGATGCACTTGATTGTGATTCATACATGCTAACTTCGGTTTTCCTTCAAAAATTATAATTCAACAAACTATTTCCTTATGCTTTTGAAATGAATTATAAGAAAAAGAGATTTTGATTGTAAACGAGCTGTAGATTTTCCCTTTCGAATTGATAATGCATGAAACTATTTCCTACTGCTTCAAAAAACAATGAATGTAAAAATGTAAACAAAGTAAACGAAGGACGAGGTTTGTTGACAGATAAAGTTGTTTACATCAAGTTGCCTTGTGCTTAACGTCATGTCCCTACACCCATTGTGTACGATTCGTGTTTTGAATTCCACAATCTTTTACCTTCAAACTCTGTGACATTTCATAAATAACAAAGAAAGAAAGAGATTTGGGTGGTTTTTACGTTGCCTATTGATTTCATTGTATGGTATCGAGCAGTGTGTGGATATAACTAAGCCCTGAACTTCGATACTTCCCCTAATGTCAATTCAAAACTCATAGCAGACATTTGATTTTCACCATATTTTTTCACTATTTCAAGGTCAGGCAAGATAAAACTCAATCATTAAAGTCATTGTTTTTTCTTCCATACTTTCTCTTTATTAAATCAATTAGTTTTTTCTTTTGTCTTGATGCAGATCAAAAGAAACTGATTTTGATAAAAAGATGCCCTTTGTGAAAAGTCCTTGATAAGTAAAAACTGAGTGAACAATTTGGTGAAATTACCTTGCAAAAAATTGATTATTGTACAGTGTCACTCTTTCTGATTGGACAATAAACCAAGGCTCAGTGAACTTTGCTTGTTTAAAATCACTTGTCAGTTGGTAGAGCAAAAATAGTAGATAAATGTCACTGTCCTAGCTTAACACTAGGACATTAATAGTGGTAAAATAGTGGTACACTGCTAAGCATATCCTGTCTCTTCACTCCATTTCGTTGGAGATCAAATCAACAGAAACTTTTTGCAGCTCATGAAGAAAGTGGAGTAGTGGTATCAGGTGTTCAGATGGGGCTATATCAAGTTTGATTAATGAGCCAAAAGCCAGGAATGAAGAGGTAATTTGTTGATCTGCTGAAGCCAAATTGAACATCTGGGTGTGATATTTATTTATACATAAAATAAAGAAAAAAGGCTTTAGGCCATCACCCTGGTGGATACCTCTTCAATATAGAGAATAAATTACAAGTCCTTGATAGCGTATTAGTCTGTATTTTATACAGTTCAGGGTGGGCAAAATCTACTTATATTTTATTTTATTATCTGTTTAAGTACAGTCTGATTGTCAGTTCATCCTAGTTGGTTTAAGATATGTTTGCAGATTCAAAAACTTTTGAAAAATGTTGAATAAGCGTCTTAAAACCATAATTCATAGACTTTTGAATTCCTCATGCCACTACCCGGTTATACCAATTCCAGTAATCCTTAATAATTAAAAGCACATTGAGGATGTTTCTATAATAGCTCAACAAGAATTATTGAATAATAAATTGGAAATATTAAAACAGAACTTGAATCATGTTGTTACTCAGAGTTTCATGCGATCTTCAGACAACTGATCTATTTTCAGCCTGCGTTCCTACAGAAGTTGGACAAGTAGAACTTATTCTCATGTCAACACTTCGAGACGAGTTCGAAACGTTTGTTTAAAGACGTTGATAATGGAAAGCTTTTTAAAATCAAATTTGATATTATTAATGAAATATTTTTGAATATTTTTTATGTACCTTTGCTGATACCACAAACCAAGTGTTGACTTTCAAGCCCTACTACCAGACCTTAAGTTTTATTATTATTAATTAAGGATGAATTTCCACCCACGCTGTGTAATAATAGCCGTAGACTTGTAATACTCAGTTCTAGGTTTTCTCTGGTTATAATTATACCCTTGATTTAGAAACAAGATGCTAGTTTATGATTCAGTCAATTTATGATATGACAATATATTAAATAACAAGAATATATCTGTCTTTTCTCTGGTTTAAAATGTACAATGGCTTCCTTAATAGAACATTATATTCTTCACTTAACAATACTGCACTAAGAGGTAGACAAATCTAATATTGAATGTAAAATTATGCAGGGCTGGTAGAGGAATTTCTTAGAAGGTTAAGCCTGTACCCAAATATAGAATGGGGAAAACCCACCAAGCCAAAATTAGATTCATGGTTTGATTGGATGTAATTTGATTAAATTTTATTAATTTATAGGTGACATCCTACATTGGAAAGTTAAATATAAGTTGAAGCTCAATTTCAGTGTCTTGTAGTATAAAAACTTATTAAAAAAAACTTATATTTTTGCAAAAAAATATACAAGAATTGAATAGAATGACATTAACCTAATTA